TTTGCTGCCTGCAACATTTTGAATGTACATTGCGTGCATGTGTGAGGGAAATGTAAAAACAAGATCATAAATTGTTATCAAACTAAGATTAATATAGATTGCCTTTTTGAGTCAAGGACATTTCAATTTACTCTGATGCAACAAGCTCAGGTTTTTGTTTTGTTTTAAATAGTGTATTGTGAGAAAATAGATACTCAACAAATAACTATTTTGGCAAACCTTAATGCAATATAAATATTAAGAGTGCATTGCAATTCACCTCACCTCTCCAGTTTCAAAAGAAAGAATAATATAAATGGAATATGGACAAAATAATGCACCTAAGAAAGTTGAAATTTGGAACAGCTCCAAGCACTTGCAAAAAAAAAAAAAAAAAGAGAGGGAAAAAAAAAAAAAAGAATGACTCGCAGCTCGGGTTTTCTGGGTCCTGTCAACTACCTTTGCTATCAAGTTTTTAATGTTTTTGGATCCTGCAAAGCCACATAGCTAAGGAAGAGCAAACTACTGCCTTTTCTCCTTCTACAGCTAAATGGAAGCAATGCTTATTGTTGGCGACGTCTATTGCAATCAGCAGAACAGAATCTGGACAATGCATATGACCCCAGTACAATACACGGCAGAAAGCATCTTGCTTTTGTTACAGGATAAAACTGAAAGTGGATCCAGGTTTTTATATGGCATTCTCTTGTATACCAAAAATTAATCCAAAGCCTACAGAAATGAGAACACCTCAGCATGCTTTGGATCAGGTCTTTTAACGAGAACAGCTCTGCCTGGCCAACACATCACTCCATCAGAGCTGGGCGGAGTAAGACCTGGTGTGCAGCAAAGCACCTCCGTGAGCATCAAAAAGGGCACTGTAACATTTTAATTTTCTGTCCAAACACCCTCCCTTTTTTCCAGCTCCCTTATGAGAAAGGATCGGCTGCTCAGGGAATTCCAGGCCTACTTTTAAGCACTGCCCTCTCCACCATTTAACACCTGTCCTTACTTAAGGCTTTGCAAAGTGTTTGCGCTACTGCTGAAGCCCAACCACTTCACGTGCCCCATTTTAGGCCCTGATCCGAAATCACAGAAAGAACAACTATGAAATACGACTATCAAGCATTCTTCTCAAAAGCTGTTGAATCAGTTCTCCACAAAACAGGCTTCAGCTGCTCCCTTCATGTTTCTTAGTGTTTATTGTTGCTACGATACAATCGCCGGATTCACCCTCCCGGGCCTCCAGCCTGCTTTACCTTATCAAGTTGGGACACAACCTCCCATAAGAGCGAATGCAAAACCGAGAGCTCTCTGCCCAGGTCGATGTAGCCCTCAAATCCAGGCATGTTTGAGATGGTATCTGGATTAGAGATCTCCAGGAGAAAACGCTTCATTCCTCCCCACTCGTGTTCTAAAAAGTCATTCATGAACGCCATATACTCTTCCTTATTACCAAACCTGCAAGAAAGGGGAGGGGGGGGAAACCCACTCAATAACTTCCACACAACATACAGCGTACAAGGGCTTACAGATAATTAATTAAATACTTTAGACCTGCCTTTCTGAAGATTTGGTCTGGGAGAAAAAGAAAAAAAGGACAATTTAAGAGATTCACTGCTTGCTTGGACTTATTTAAATACTAGTAATTCACCGTTCATATTATGATCAGGGCTCAACACATCTCTCCCCCCTCCCTCCTTCCCACAGACAATATTTCTCTTCTCCCCTTCTCTGCATCCTCTCCCCTGTAAGAGACATGCCATGCCCTTTGTATCAGTCAGCTGGGAATTTTGGAGGAAGAAAGGAGGAAAATCACGATCCTTGGTGGGAACTGGCTTTTTTTTTTTTTTTTTTCTTTTGAAATAGCATACACACTGACATGCTAATGCATGGCTCTTCTTGGTTTTATACTGTGTCCCCCGTACTGAATTCAACACAGCCCAAATCTGCATGTGAAAAGGAGAATTTATCTCGCTCAACACTGAGGTGTCTCAAGGGGAACAGCGTTCACATATAAGTAAGAAGTTTCCTCCTTTTCTAAAGCTGACTTCAATTTGACAGAGAATCAGCTGCCTGCAAACATGACTACCAAGCAGGGCTCCCCTTGCTCCACAGTAACCTGCAGTGATTTCCAGCCCTAGAGGCACAGATTTCAGGTTTGTTTGTCACCACCTACTTAGCAAAATTGGCGAGATTCTGTATGACTTTAGCAATAAGTGTGAGTGTGCGAGATGTCCGGTCGTCAGGATACTCCTGCATGAGGCTAAAGAGGCTGGGAGACATGATAGCGGGGCACAGGAAGCGGAGGAAGAGGGAGGCACTGATCAGGCGTTCACTGATGTCCTGCTTGCCCCTGCTCAGGCACTGCTGCTTCCAAGATGCAAATACCTCCTTCAGCTCACGAGGGAACACGCTGAAAAATAACACATCAGGAAATAAAATAAAATCACAAGGGCAATGAGATGCAACAAACTGAACTGGTGACCAATCACCTGAAATAATTATCTATGAGAAAACATCATCGGCTCTTCCCTACCCCTTTTCTCTCTCTAGGCTAGGAAATGTTGTTAGGCATCTATTCTTAGATCCCCGTTTAATCTGGTGATACTTAAGCAGTATTTAAAGCATCCCTTGTTCATATATGTTAAGCGAAGCCATTTTCAGACACACTGATTCGCAAGCCAAGAACTACTTATCCAACGCTACCCTGGAGCAAACAGGGTGTTAGAATATTACAAACAAACTGAACTCATCTCCATAACGGAAATTTTTATTTTGCTTGTTAAGCTCTCAATATGTTGCACATGCTTCATCCTGAAGCAGAAGGGCCCTTCTTCTTTGACTACTACTGAGAAACAGAGATTAATAGAAATCTGTCTGCCAATGTTTCCTCCCTGTGATTTCCTGTTCAATTCTACAGATCTAAAGGGTCTGAAAGTTTTCTATACACATCAAAACTTTCAGCTTTTTTTTCCAAGTTCAAGTTAAGCTGTTATCTTCTCACTTTACTCCCTCCTCATTCAGTCACAGCTCAGTATGTGTTGCCTTGGCAGAGTATTTCAGCAGAAGCTCCTGTCAGGTACGGTGTGTGGGACTGGAACCCCTCAATTTGGGCACAAGTTCCACCTGCAATATGGTGTTACACGTAGGAAGGTAGTGAGGAAAGGAAAGGAAAGGAAGGCAGTCTCAGAAGATTGATGGGTCTATGCTATTTCCCTGCACAACTGCCGTTTTCTCATCTTCAGAGGAGGAACGGGGACCCTCTAAGGAAATGACCTAATGGGGGAGAAGGGGAGGGAAGATGCCTCACCAGTAAGAATTGATAATCTTGCAGAAGGCCAGCTCACAACACATTTTCAGGTTGCTCTGATGATCTGTTAATTCACTGGATGAACATTTGCTGGGATCCACTTCACAGTTTTCATCTGACTCATACAAAGCCTTGATAAACTCCCCTGGACAAAAGGAAGAGGATGACAAACCAGGGTAGTTACATGAAAAGCCTCCTTGACACACCTTTAAATCCTGCTTATGTCTTTCCTTGGCAACCGTCTCTTCTTCTCCCTGTGCCTGCCACACAGCCTCCAGACACCAGATGTTGGGGACATGACTCCTCCCAGCTCTTTCAGAGCAGAACGCTTGCCATACCAGATCAGACGACTGGTGCTCTGATGCTTCATCCTCCCGTGCCCTCGCTGCCCCAAGTATAGGTGCAATAACAGGATGGCTTTGCTTATAAACCCTGCAGACACTTCACTTATAGCCTAAAGAATAGGATTTGACTTTATATTCAAATTGCATTATCAACTATAAAATTATCCACAGTCTTAGAAACGAAGCTGTGCTACTTGTCTTCATAATTTCCCCAGGAAATGCACTTGACAATGCTATTTATTTTTATTATTTCTAAATTTACCATTTTTTTTAATTTTAAAAAGTGTCACCTTGCTCTTGAATAAGAGTAATACCCAAGCGCTAGTTAGGTACCGCTAATTTTCTCAGGTTCTTTTATCAACACCTGACAACATTTTTATAGCCTGCATCCTTCAAAATCCTTTGCATTTTTGTCATCCTCTTATGGCATCACAACAGAAACTGGACACGTACAAAACCAGATGAAGTTTCCTTTGTTTGACATATTGGAATGAACCACTTACTAGTTTTCCTCCTACATATGCTAGCACACCAACTGATTTTTAAACTGTTGATGTTCACTAGGAAAAACTCTTTATTCATTCATTTAATGATTCAATGTCTTTTAAGTTCATCTCCTCAGATGATCTTGCTGGCTCCAAGCTAACGCCACAAGGCTTGTTTGTGCAAAAGTGTTTTGGTTTTTTGCCTTTGTTTGCTTAAACACCTCCCAACCCCCCCCCCCCCCCCAACCCTCAACCCAGCTCAGCAAAGTAGCCGGTACATTTTCTTAAGCTGCTTTTTTTTTTTGTTGGGGTCCAAAAAATTTATGCTGACGGCATCTAGATCACTTATTTGCAAAACTCTCGGCATCACTTCTGAGGAGCCAATTCTGTTTTAACTGTTGTTTACTGTTTTTTATTTTTTTCCTTAACACATTTGAAATTTTCTCTTTGTGGTCCACAAGACCCTGCCTTAATCATATATTAAGATGCTCTTTCAGATGTATTCAATAGCTAAACACCAAGTGTAATGTTGTTAATCCTTTCAAAGAACATGGCATCTGAGCAAAGTCATGTTTAAAACTTAACAAAGAATTAGGTGGGTATATTGTCATGAGCAACCTTGCCTTGAGCTACAGACAAGCTGGATGACCGCAGGGGAATTTTCCATCTCTCATGTCTATGATTTACAATCTCATTACTCAGCTCTACATGATGTATTAGAAGTCATTAATTTTAAAATATTTTTATGGAATTACTGCACATTAAGGGGGCTTGCAGTCCAATGTAATATACTGGTCCCACAGCTGATCATTCAGTCTGCTGAAAAGCATAGCACAAAGTAAACGCTGCTCATTTCTTCTTGCCAGGGGAGAGCCTAGAACTGTGACTTACGCTCAGTGGTTCCACCCATGAGAAAAAGACTACCAGCACAGGCTCATTACACTTAAGAAATGGCCAAAATGCATCATATAATCACAGACCTGACGATACTGACCCTTGGAGCACTAATTTGGCCAACTATCTCCTTGATGACTTGCCAGCATCTGGGATTGCTGAGGACAAGCGAGATTGCTGGGAAAGCAAGCTGCTGGTTTGGGGTTTTTTTTTTTTTTTTTTTTTTTGTGAAAGGATGTGGTGTTGGACTTGGCTTTGGCCTCATCTTGTTTCTCTTGTCTCAATTTCCAAAGCTTTCTTCATCCAAGAAACAACAGGGGGATGGGTGGCTCATTGTGCAATCCTGGCTAATGAAGATTGCACGGAGTTGGTAAAAGCTAACTATAGCGAAGTCGTGAGTTTCTTTGGAAGAGAGCATGCATGTTTTCAGCCCTCTTTATTGCAATATTAGTTGCGCGGACACTAACTCCCAAGGCAGTGGCCTATGACCAGAGCAGAACCTTTAGGCGGAGAGGGGACAATAATACAATTATCAGAATCCACCCTGGCACGTAACCGTGGACATTAAGACCCCACGGGGGGAATGGAGTAGGACATCACAGGTTGGCCAGGCAGTTTTAATGAGGCAGTGAATAAAGAGCACTTTGGATAAACACAGGCAGGAGGCTCCCTAGACAGTCTGCATTTTGATCTCCTGCCCTGTAGCCCTGCAGCCTCACTCCCTCCAGCTGTGTTTGTCTTAGGATTTGTGTTGGGGGAAGGTACGAGTTTAAAAGGTTAACACAAATGTTATTGAATTAATTGCTCCGTGGCAAAGGTAAGGGCTGAGCAAGCCCAAGGGTCACTCTGGAACGTGCCAGCATTACCAATAGTTGAAGCTGAAGCATGTGGAAATGCGTTTTCTTGTACTACCAAGTGCTAGGGTTGGGCATCTCACACGACACTTGTTAACAGCGTAGCTCACGTTTGCTGTTAACTACAATGACAAGTGAAAGAGACTGACTGGAGACACCCCAGCAATACCTGCTTGTGGATGAGAGCTTTGGTTGTCATCCAGATACCCCCGAGTATATCTAACCCTGTGGCTGGTGGCACTTCAGCCTAAAGTGAGTGCAGGAGCTTCTTTAGCATCAAAGGAGATCAGTGACATACATGCTTCACATTCATAATCCCTTCTGAAATCTCCACCTAATTGTACTGCACATGATACCAGATTCACTCCTGACACCGCAACACAAGGTATTCATCTCAATTTCCACTATGTCAAAATCTCTTTTTTAAGCTGTTCGTATACCAGATGGAGCAATCACCGTTGCCCACAAATAAATTGCAGTATCATAGCTCCTCATCACAACCAGAGACACAAAAGAAAGTTAGCCAGAAAAACATAACGCGGTGATAGAAACTTTAAGAGGGATTCAGCTATATCCAGTCAAGTTTGCCTTGCCTTGATTGCTATTCCTGCAGGCACCAAAGAGCAGCTTCCTCTGTGTGGAGGAAGGGCATCAAGGGTAAGAGAGCATGTATTTTGCTACCTGGACACTGGACACCTGGGCTGAGCGCTGAGGCAGTTCCTTCCCATCCCACACACCTAGATGCACGAGGCTCCAGTCATGCTGCAGATAGTTCAGGGTTAGCCCTTGCAATGCAAACAGGTGACAGACAGGGACTCTCTTACCTAGTGCATCGTGAAGATACTTCTGCCCTACCAACTTTAGGTATTCCTCAATAGCTTTGGTAGCAAGCGTGTTCTCCCTGAAGATCAAGACATCATGCTCCCCACAACGATCTACCTCTGACATCACCAAATCCGTCAAGAAGTCCTGAAGAAAAAGGTCAAATGGCAAGAGGTTATTTTAACCAGACTCGGTCATGCCAGGCTAACTGCGGAAGCCAAGGAAGGATAAACAAAAGAGTCAGAGGATTACTGAAATAATTGCTCAGCTTGGGACAAGGGGTGCAGATGCTACATGTAGTATGGGCCAAGGAAATAGCCAGGGCTCCTCTTGGGTTTATTATGCTTATAAAATACTATAGATCACAAATTATAAAGGGAGAAGCAAAAGCCTCTAAAAGAAAACCTTTGCAGCCAAGCTTGTGTTTCAGTTTAGATCCTGAACAGAACCGCTCATCAGTTTGTTTATCAGCAGCTTTGTCTGCCGAAAGAAACTGTGATATTTATCTTTTAATACTGAATATTCCACACAAACTTGCATTTAAAAAATCCCAAAAGGAAGTTAGGCACAAGTTCTTACAGCTTGGTGAAATTTAAATAAGAAGAAGTGCTATATAAATTAAATTCATAAACCAAAAGTGGTTCAGGATTTTGGAAAAAAAGTTAACATGCTTGCTGTGGATCTATATGGCTTAACTTGAACCGTATTCAAATGCCCAGGCAGGAACTATCAGCAAGTATTGACAGAGTGAATAACCTCTTGATATATGGTTCTCCAGTAATACTTATTTCCTGAAGTGATAACTTTATGTGAGTCAAGGACACTCAGCATTTCATAAGAAATACTCAGTATTTCGCAAGATCCAATTTCAGCTATCGTAATTCCACGCCCCCCCCCCCCCCCCCCCCCCCCCCCCTTTTCGTCTTCCACCAAAAAAAAAAAAA